CATACTGCCCGGGGGCAGGTGCTGCCGGTGCTTCGAGGAGCGCAACAAGTGCGGGTGCAAAAAGTGCATCGAGAACGTGGACAAGTGCAGGTGCAAGTGCTGCAAGCTCCAGGTTGGGTCTTTTTTTTTTATTGTCCTTTTATTGGGAATACTGTATCAATAAATAATCAATTATATTTTATTTATTTTACAATAAAATTTTATTTTATTCATTTTACAATAAACAATTATTTTGTTTATTTTACAATAAACAATTATTTTATTTAGTTTTAATAAACAGTTTATTTATTTATTTTACAATGATTAATTCATTTATCTATTTTACAATATAAACAATGATTTTACAACACAATTTAAATAAAATTGCAATTATAATGTTTTAATACATATGCAGTACACAAACATTGCCAATTATTCAATGATCTTCCATTTTCATTTGGGAATAAATTTGAAGCATGGTTTGAGCCTTCCAACAATAATTCTATACAAGTGAATTAAATGTATAAAAATATTTTTAATACCTGTTAAAATGCTATTTATGTATGGTTGAAGGTTAAAATTATAACCATAGCATATAAATGGTGAATATTATTGATCCTGGAAGTGGCATTGTGAGACTCTCAAAAAAACATTAAATTAGACCAAATTCATTTAATATATTTTACGTTTGTCTGAAATTTTCCTGATATCTCAATTTTTGGAAAATTCTGAATATAATATATGGAGTGATGGAAAATTCCAAATTTAATGGAGCATCAGCTTTCATTATTTTGCAGTGAAATCGGCCAAATTCTGCTTGACACTGGGTCAAGTGTGAAGTTTGTGATTTCGAAAACCTTTTCGTATTGAACAAAAACTCACTTTCTTTAACATATTTGAAATTTTAATGAAATCTTTTGCTGAAAATTTTCACAGGCGGACAATCAGTAATTTTTAAAGCAGTATTACAATTTTTAAATCCCAAGAAATTTTTGTGAAAATATAATATATTTCTTCAAGATCTGTGTTGGGCCATCTGGCTGCTGTAAGACCCAGGTCTGCAAGAACCAGTGCATGTGCTACAGGGCCACTGAGGGCCACAACAAATGCGGTTGCTGCAAGGTTTCTGAATGGAAAAACAAGTGCGGTTGCTTGAAGGTCAGTCAGTACAGATAAACTCTATGCAGTTCATAGAATTTTATCGAGCGAGCGACATCTACATTCCAGGTTTCCGAACGCCGTAACAAGTGCGGCTTCGGCTGCAAGACCACCATTTGCAAAACGCCCTGCGGCTGTCGCAAAATCATCGAGAACATCACTCCTTGTGGCTGCAGCACCTGCATCGAGGGCTGCAACAAGTGCATTGATCGGGGTTGTTGCAGGATCNAGGACTGCAAGAAGGTCATGCCCAAGTGCTGCGATGATGTGGGCCCCAGCTATGATGCGCCATCTGGCGCCAATAGCAAGATTCGCCGCGATGCGTGCGACATCTGCGGAGGCCCCATGAGAACTGTGGTGGCGGCGGTGCCATCTGCTTCCGCTGCACTGCCACAGCAGCAGCAGCAGCAACAGCAGTTCAGGCACAATGCAGAGGACAACTTTTTGTATGATGTCTATGCCAGGCCTGAGCGTAGGAGTGGGGGTGAAAGCCAGGCCACTGAGTAAGTCATACAATATGGCATACAAAATCATTAGAACATTATGATATTGACTTTGACATGTCTAAATTCTCATATGCTGAAAAGGTGCTGAACATTTCAGTTTTGTTGTTAGTAAAATTCCTGTTAATATTAATGTTTTAAATTTTAGTCAGCAAAATTTTTCACTGACTAAAAAATACTTGAAATGTCTTTGCTAGGCCTTAGTGGAAGTAAAAGCCAGGCCACTGTTTATACAGATCATTTATACTTATGTATAGAACAAGCAAAACTGTGCCACAAATGCATGATTCATCTTAATTTATTTGTAATGTTCTATATAACTTGGCAAATCAGTTGTATAATGTGACCTTTCTCAAGGGGTGAAGTTAAGTGTTCACACAAATTGCAATAATATACAGCAAAAATATGCTGAGACATAATTTATCCTTACAAAAGTCCATCCTACTGTATTATTCTTTCTTTGTCCATCCAATCAAAAAATATTTTTATGGTATTTCATGATGAATTGATTGGAAACTAGGTTAGGGTTGGGAAATAATTGAAAATAAAAAGTGAACATTCTTCAGTGAAATAGGAAATTTTTTGAGAAATTTAAGAATTGAATATGATAGTAACTAACACAGCCGGATTGGGAAAAATGGCTTACACTTAGAATATGCATATGCATGCATGCAATGTTCACCAATTGTGTGTTCACACCAGGATTACTCAGGGTCACATTTGTAACAAATAAGTTACCCCAAGGTTATAGTTTGTGCATTTTTGTGATATTCCTTTCATGTCACATATGTGCACCAAATGTAGCCCTGGAATGGTAGCAAAATTTCATCTACAGAGGTGCATGCTTGTAACCCTAGAATAGCCTATGTACACCAGTTTTGACCCCAGTGTGCACCAGTTGTGGGGTCACACAAAGAATAGCTCCCCACTTGAGAGTATATTGCTTGAACTGACATTTACTTGAAAAAAAAGAGAAGTCAGATTTCACTTGAAAGAGAATTATCTGATGTTGTATCTGTGCAGTGTCATGGCCAAGTTCACTGGCTCCAGACTGAATCCCTTCTCACTGAGCAACAGCTTGAGCCGCTTGTCGGTCATGCGCCTCAAGGAGATGTCCAAGTGCACACCAGGTGTCACTGGCAGCACCAGCGAGTCCTTCGTGCTCACCGGGGTGTCGCCAGCTGTCATGGATCCCTTCGTGGGCATGCCGGAAATTGCTGATCAGCACGACGACTCTCTGATGTTGTCCTGTGCCGAAGGCTGTTGTTGCTTCGTTTGCAGCCCTGTGCCCTGTGCAGCTGGCTGTTGCTGCCCTGCTTGCTGTCCAGCCATCATCGTGCCCATGATGGACTCCAACACTGAGGCCAGCATCAACAACAGAGCCAAGAAAACCGCCGTCAGGAAACTGAAGCTTCACAAGAGCAGCAACGCCTCTGCTGCTGGTGTTGTTGGGGAGACCTCTATGGCGAGCAAGGAGAAGCGCAAGCTTAGCCGCGGGCGGAAAGAGGGGGACTCTGCCGCGTCATCGTTGGTGCTGGCGAAAGATGTGTGAAAACAAAAATCTTTTCGGGATGGGAGCAGCGACGTCTGTGACATCAAACAGCAAAGGGACGAAGCTTTCCGCTCCTTGAAGCAGATGAAGACCGTTTAATTTTCTGTCGTCTTTTTTTTTTATAAATATATATTTAATCTCCCATTTTCTCGATTATACTTCTTCGTTACTGTTTGGTCACCTGGTCACCGATCCACTTTCTGCTCGTGTGTCCACGACAAGCCGCCAACAGCTCCTACGTACCTGACCTTAAGGGTGTTAGCCACGACATATTTGTATATTTTTTTTGGTGTGTGTGCCTAAAGATAATCATACGCTTACTGAAACATGTCGAGGTATATTCTTACTCACTGCGCGGATGCTTTACAATGCATGTACTTTTTCTAGAAAAAACATGTTCAAATTGAAACATATTTATGTTAGTTACACTTCATTTACAATTAAATTCAAATGTTAATAAGGGAAAATCGTTTTTTAATTTTTAATAATTTCGAGAAGGAATTTTAAGACGTTTTCGAATGAAAAAAGATCGGCGATGAGCCGGAATTAATTTTTCTAAACGTTGGAACCTAAAAGTTTTAAAAAATTAGCCGGAATTAATTCTTCTAAACGTTGTAACCTAGAAGTAATTATTTTACGATGTTGACGAGTAACAATTTGGAAAAATCACATTCTCAAAATTGAAATTTAAACACATTTTATAAATAGAAAAATTGATGCTACGCGAATTAATTTTTTTGTGCTTTTAAGCTAAAAATATAAAAAATTTCAATTGTCAGTATAAGAGTAAAAATATTGAAAAAAGCAACAGAAGTCACATTTTCAACATCAAATAAAAAAAAATTGACTGCTGAAAAATTATTCGTCGCACGATTTATTTGAGCAGAACGCCCGAAACTTCAATCTCAAGAAAAAATGACAGCGTGAAAAATTCTAAAACTGTGCAATAAAGAAAACCTGCTAAATTTTTTCTTTTCGATTTCGGGTAAAAATTGAATATGAAAGAAGTCCTGCGAATAAAATTGAAATTTATAAATAACTCTTTCAAGCGCATGAAGAAATACGTCTTTTATCACTTCGAAATCTTGAATTTTCATTCGCATTTCCAATCGGAACATTGACGTCACAACAATACGGAAGAGGAAAAACCCCTGCATTTCACCATCTCTTCATCTGGAAAAAGAAAACACACACACACACACCCGACTTTTATTGAAATATGAAAATGGGGGAAATCCACGTCACCGACAGGAACCAAGAGTGGAACACGGTACCAGGAACAATAATAATAAAGTGGCACATCTCATAGCATTTCGCTAAATGTTGTGTCATGCTTTTTATTTTTTCATACAATTTTAATTTGTATTCCCCGCTTTGATTAGAATCTCGTTTCCAAGTGTGAATATATTGTACATGCGAGAATAGAGGGAAGAAAAATGGAGAAACTCGTTCTGCGTTGCTTTTGCCTTCGCTTATCTGTGTCACAGCATCTTTATTTTTTATCTTTAATTTTCGGCTAGTTTTGTTCTTCTGTATAAGGGAGGAAATGTTATTCTAGTATCTTCCTTTTTTCTTTTATCTCTCTCTCTCTCACTTCTTCCTAGTTGAATTATGCAAGAGTAAATGCAGAGGGATGAGCAGAGAATCTGAAGACTTGCTTCAGTTGCTTCCTGGGTTTCCTCAGGTCAGGTTTTGCAGAGTTTTTTTTTTCTTTTCTCCTCTAGCTTGGTGTCTTCTTGACATCCTTTAGAAATTTTAATGCAACAAAAGTGATCATTACTTGATGCTGTAAATGTGACCCTGAAGTGAGGACATTTTTTTCTGCTTTATAGGAATCTGATTTCAAGATGAAAGCTTTATTAATTGTGAGTTTTGTGGCTTTTTTGACTGGCGTCAACCAAGGACTTGGTAAGAACTTGGATTTATAAGATGAAATTTGCTGACAATAAGCCCAGAGAGACTGAAAACCTGGCTTAATTTTACCGAAGTTCCATATAAAGGTTCTCCTTACAGTCATTGTTTAAATGGAAAATTATTCATCACAAAATTTCCAATACAGTATTTTTTTTCCTCACACAAACGATGCAAAAAATAAAAATTCATGGGACACTCATGACAAAGACCTGTTTCTATAGCCATATTTGGGCAAAATAAAATTCGCGCAATAAATGCATGAATACAAGTAATCATGGGATTTTAATTTTTCAATTTCTGCTCAAACTGTCAGGAAAGAATAATGATTTAGTATATAGTCAAATGAAGAATAAGATATTTTATTTGGGTTGAGACTGGACTGGGGTGACAATTCACCCTATTATGTAAGTTGGTCTTAATTCTCAAAAGACAAAGTTTGCACAAGCAAGGAGTTTTCAGCACTCACATGTTCTCAAATCTGGTAAATAAGCCAACTGACAAGTGACCAAAAAAGGGTTTTGGCGGTTTAAAGAGGGCTTTTCCAAAAGTAGATGAAAGTTTTGGCCATGGTGACCATTTAGATTAGAAGATTTAAATTTAAATGAAACTTCTTATTTCTATATCAAGACAATTCATGACCCTGTTTGTTGAGAAGGAAATCTTTTCTCTTTCTTGAAAAATGTATGAGAGTTGAGGTGATACGTGATTCCCACAGAAGCAACCAATGATGAGTTTTTGGAAAAGGATACAACTTGGCCACAATAAATTTGCAGAAAAAATGGCGATTTGCAGTTTAACAGATTTACTCTTCTAAATTTGTGGCACAAACATCTTGGTGCATATATATGCTCCACAGCAGATAAGCAGTTGTTGAGATATTTTCAAAGTAACTGAATGAAGAGAAATATTTGGTTATTTTCATATGCTCTTGCAGTACTTTTTATCAAAATATTGTTTGAAATCTAAGAAATGCAGCATTGAAATCTACTCATTTATTTTCACGAAGATATATAAGCCACATCTGAATTCTCAGTAGCAATAATACCAAAAGCAGAACTGTCTCAAAATTTCCTGTACAGGTGGTACCTTGCAATTCAACCAAAATCCATTGCCAAACTAGTGTCAAATTGCGAAGCAGTTGAATCGCAAGACAATTTGTGAAATTAAAAAACATCAGTAAAAATGCAAAAAAGTGGCCAAAGCAGGTCAAACTGCAGGGCAAGGATCAAATTTCAAGTCAACCTCCCTGCAAATTCAACCATGAAATTCTGGGATGGTCAAATTGCAAGGTACCACCTGTACAGCAAATTTTTTTTGGTCCCTTGAATTTCAATCCAAGACTGCATTTAACCCTTCTGTGGCAAAGTCAGACTTTTTTTGGCAGATTTTGCATGCACTCAAAAATGAATTTAAAAAAACCATGACAGCGTGCGCAGGGCAAAGTTAGGAAAAATCCTGGCATTTTTAAAAACATTTTCACAGAAAATTTTACTCAGAAAGAAAAAATTTAAATCTTCACTGCTTTCTTTTTCCCATTAGCCTGGTGTTGTTACCCCATTCAAAGATAACAATCGAACTTGAAAGCCAGAAGCCCAGAGTAGAGGTCACTATACAGAAAAAAAATCCAACTTGGGATTTTTGCTGCATTTCTTTATCCCTGAATAAAATCTGGCTTTACCCCTCCAGACCCAGCCAGGAATGCATAACCTTGAGTAAAACTGAAACCCAGGCCCAACCAAAAAAAAAAAAAATCCAACTTTACCCTGTGGGATGGAAAGGAGGCTGCTTCTGTCCAAGGATTGAAATTGTTGCAAAAAACAAATGGCTGTAGTCAACTCATCACACTAAATCAGAGAACCCAAATTCTCAGGAAAATCCTCTTCATTTATCTTTGTGAGAATCCAGGAAAACCTTGGTTCCTCACATTTCTTTCAGAAGCCTTCAAGGCTGTTTTTTACTGCTTTTTCCAGTTGCTGTTTTTTGTCCTTGGAGGACAGTTTTCCTGTTTTCCAAATCTGCATGCAAACTTCACTTTGTTCCAAGCACTCATGTGATTCACGCAAAGATTTTTGTTGCGTAACACATTCTGTGTTTGTGATTTGAATTATAACAACCTTAAAATAGGGTGAAATTTCACCCCAGTTGTAGCCCAACGAAATTTGGTACTTTCCTGTTATCTCAGTACCTACTTTCATTTTATGTACTGTGCCTCATTTTATGTACTGTAACTGTTGAGTTTGGCGCATGAAGTACAATACTGTACACATTGTCAGTAATCTAAATGACCAATTTAACCTGACCTAACCTAACTTCACCTAACCGCCTCCCAAAATCAGTTTCAGCAGAACCCAAAGAAAGCAGAAACTGAGGCAGTTAGGTAGAGTTAGGTTAGGTCAGGTTATGTTAATTAAAATATATTTGTAACTAACATAACCTGCCCTAACCTATCTTTACCTAACCGCCTCCCAAAATCAGTTTCAGCAGAATGCGGAAAAATAAAATTCACAGTTTCTGGTAGGTCATTGTGATTATATGAACTTGCCTTAAAGATTTGTCTAGATGGCAGTGATGTAGTTCCTGTTCTCTTCAACTAAGGTGATTAACTAATTTTTCATCTCACAAATACTGAATTCACGAGACAAAGAAAAATGGGTACTGAGATAACAGGAAAGTACCCAGAATTCTGTTGTTTTACATCCTCATTTAAAATGCAAATTCTTCTAAACTCAAATCATTTCTTAAACATCTTTATTGTCAAGGATTTATTCCTGGCCATAAATTTGATGATGCTTTTTAATCTTTTAAATGGAAATTAACAGCGGCAGGCATTCGGTCTGCCAAAGGGTTTGACGCCTTCAGCATCAATGATGATGACACCATCAGCAGCACTGATGACATCAGCAACAACAACAACAATGAAGACCTTCACAGGCCACTGGCCACTCAATGCCCCCTGGCCGACAGCAAAACCGCCGAACCCAACGACGCCTATGCCCCGTCCCATTGCGGCGGGCATAAGTGTCGGGCGGACGCGGATTGCAGACCCCCGGCGGGCGCCACATTGCCTCGGACAGCGGCCCAACAACAACTGTGTTGTCCGAATGCCTGTGGTGGTCTGAGCTGTGCCCAGGCTGAGACAACGTCGTCTGGCGCCACTTTGTTGCAGACGAGGACGAATTTGTTTTGCGGCCGGTACATTTGCTCCAACAGGGAGACCTGCGTCACGGTTTTCGCCAAAAATTGCAAACCCAGTCTGGACAACTTTGTGTGTCCCACGATGGAGCAGTGCATGCCTAGGGGTGAGTTCAATAAAAATTGATTAGGTGATCTATTGCTTTGAATTGAGTTACAGTATTTTTTTTAACCAGAACTGGATGTGTATCACACAGAAGCATTTTGGTAGACAGATTGTTTTGAACAGTTAAATATTCTGATGGATTTGAGCTATAAAAATGGGAGCAAGAACATTGAAAAATATAGTTCAATGTCTTATCTACTCCAGCATAAAGTACAGAATTTTATATCTCTATGTATATAATATACTATACAGTTGAACCTTGTTAAGTCAAACCTCCCTGAGTCAAATACCTCCCTAAGTCAACATTTTTTCAATTCCCTGCCTGAATTCCCTTAAAAAATGCATTAAAAACTTCCCTAACTCAAAGGCTTTTTCCTCTTAAACCTCCATAATAAGAACTTTTGGAAACCTTGACTATTATTTTATTGAAGCAGGAAAGGGAGAAGCAATAAAAATGGAATTTGATGTGCTTTAAAAGGTACGTGACAGACTAAATTAGGCAAACAAACTGCTGTCTCCAAATTCAGCACCCTGTCAACTCATTTTAAAAGCAATTTATGGCCCAGAATATCAACACACACAATTTAGTACAATTCTTCAATATTTCCCACAATAAAAAAATCTTGATTCCATAAGTCAAACGTCTGTATAGCTCAAAACCTCCCTAAGTAAATTTGATTTGCTGGTCCCTTGAAATTCAACTTGAAAAGGTGCAACTGCAGTTTCAGTTTTCAAGGAGCAACAGCATATGAAGCATTGATTCTAACTTTTCAATCACGTGTCAGTGCTCTGAGCTTGAAAAGGACAAATCTGTAATTTGAAGAAAAATTGAATATCACAAAGTTGAAAAGCTAGTTAAAATGCTAGAATTCAAATCCTGAGTTGTACACCTAAGTTGAATTCCCCCTTTCAAGAAATGGAGATTTCAGATTCAGCAATTTAGAGTGTCTAATTTAGGATGCCAGATTTTGAATTTCACATGATTTCAGATTTTAAATTTAGTAATTTTATATTTTTAATTCATGCTCAAGTTAATCTTAAATTTGAGGAGTAACTTCAAATTCTTATTTTGGCTCTTTGAAAATGTGATGTCCCAATATTAAAATTTTCTGCATAGACTTCTGAATTTGCATTCTATAACTTTATATAATTGGCAGCATTTAATGACATGCTTTTTTATGTCATTAAATGCCTCTGATTGTTGTCTACTCTTCCCCTTCACACTTTTTAAACACATGAAAGATACAGTTCCACAACTTCCTCATCTGATATAAACTCTTAATTACCAGAAACACATGAAGAGAATTTCCCAATACATTATAAAGATAAGCTTCCTGAACAGCAATAATCACAAAAAAGTAGCTCATGATGCATGATTTCTCATGATGGAGCTCTAAATAAATTGTCATCACCTGAACCCATAAAAAATTTTGTTGTGTGGAATTTCATGGTATAGAGAAAATTATTCAGTATGGAATAAAAGAAACAATTGCTGTCAAGATATATGCAGTATAGCTTCAAAATGGAATTCTGATCTTTTACTTTTTTTCATTTTTTACTTGTAGGAACTGAGGATTGCTCAACAAAAGTCTGTCCAGAAGGAGCCAGGTGTGCAATGGTGGAATGTGCTGGGTTTTATTGTTCACCTATTGCCAAGTGCTTTGGGGACAATTTGCCCCTGGACTCTTCCACCAGTGCTTCCACAATTTCTTCAACCTCTGTGAGACCTGGAGCTTCCAGACCCTTTTTCCCCACTAGATTCACTTCACCAATCAGCTCTACCACTACATCTGGAAGTACAACAACCAGCACCAGCACTTCTGGAAGTACTACAACCAGTACCAGCACTACTGGGAGTACAACAACACTAATTGCCAGCACTTCAGGGAGTCCATCAACAAGTGCCAGCACTTCTGGGAGTACAACAACACTAAGTGCCAGCACTTCTGGGAGTCCATCAACAACAAGTGCCAGCACTTCTGACAGCACAACAACTGGCACCACAACTAAAACTACCCCTTGGACAACTATTACAACCTCTGTTGAAGTACCCAGCAGTTCTCAAGAACTATCTTCAGAGGCTTCTTCAGTATTTAACCCCCTGGGAAATGAGTTGACATCAGAAGCATCAGCTTCTGCTCTTGCCCTGGACTCAACTACCCCCTCCAGGGCATCATCATCAAATGAACCCTCATCAACATCTTCTGAAACCACTTTGGAGTACTTGGAGCCTTCCAGCAGTTCTTCAGGGTCTACTCTTTTGGGGGATGCCCCAGTCACTTCCTCTCTGAGTCCTGTTGATAATGATTTGGATGATGGAGGACTTGGCACTTGCAAGAATAAGTGCCCCAGTGGAACCACTTGTCACAGGGTGTCCATTGAAGGTTGTACCTTTGTTGGTGGGACTCTGGTGTGTGACTTCAAGATGATCTGCATCCCTGACTGTAAGTCCAAAACATCCATGCAACTGTGACTTGAAGATTGATAAGAGTCAAACAGTGTCACTTAATGATTTATTACACAAGGCAATTATAAAATCCTTTATGAAAAATCACAGCAAGTTCTTTTTTATTGTAAAAAAATTGAATGTTGAAGTACTAAAACCAGCTTTAATATGTACACCTTCAAGATTTTTAAAGAATGCAACCCATCTCAATTATACTGAAGCAGAAAATTTACTAAAATATATTATATTATTGTTAAATTTCCATAAGTGAACCACAATAATTGCAAAATCAATGTGTAAATCTCTTTTTTAATTGATGCTAAAATGCTGTGTTTTTTTTCCTGATCACTCATGTGTCTGTTTTTTAAATGATTTTAACATTCGAGATTAATTTATCTGCAAAATCTGACCAAAACAGTGGTTTTCCAGTCCACAAAATTATAAATTATGTATTTGAAAAAATCCAGTCCATAAATTTTGAGTATCTCCTTTTCTTCTCAAATTGGAAATGAATTAAATCACTAATTCATAGGTCTACATAAACACTTAATGCTGAAGTAACTTTTGAGGAATATTTGGACAAAGTTTGCTTATTCTAAAAACTCTTGATATGTCTCACAATATAATGTAGATTTTAGGAGACAGGTATTCTATTTTAATTAAACCATCAAGCAGATATTTCCAGGGCCAATAATCTTTGAAGAAGAAAAAATGGGATTGAAAGTTATTCAAAGTTATCTTTATACTGGGTGTTACGTTTCTGCTGCTGGTTGCTTGTATTCAGTGACAAGGTTACTGATGAATTAAACATGGGATTCCCACGTCATGAATCCATCAAAACCTGACTTGTGAGCTGAATTGCTTTGAGAACCCCAAGAAGAAATCGTCTCTCTATAACCAGAGATCCTTTTTCGAGAACAAACTTTGAATAAAAAGTCTTCAGTTGGATTGCTATCTTGTTAAGCTTTCCAATTCAAATTTCTTCTCACCTGCTGCTGTGCATTTGTTTTCTTCCATCTCTGAGTGTGAATGCAATATTCTCTTCATTTTACTTTCATTGCAGCTGTTCAACTTTGTTCTGCATCCACTTGCACCCCTTGGGAGACCTGTGTGATTGAAGGGAAAGGGTGTGCGAATGGCAATCTGAGGTTGCCAAATGGTCAGGAAGCCTGTGGTCCCACCTGCTATTCCCCAGTGCTTAGTGAACCAAATTCTATACCTGCTAAGTCTGGTTGTGGTCCTAATGCAGCTGTTTGCAAAGAAGGGACTGAAGCCTGCTTGCCAATTGTACAAAACAGTTGCACATTCAACCAGGCTGGGGACTTGGAATGTGACTATTTGGACATGTGTGTTCCCCAAGGTTAGATTTAATCATTATTCAATGCTTACAAGTAAAGTCTTTCATATAGGTATATATTATATATTAGGTAGGTGATATATTTATTGTTGCAGAAAATTTCTATATAGGGACCCAGCATAACACGTTTATATAGGTGCTGGTAACTCAAAATGTAATGTCCTGCAATTTGTCTGTCCCATGATTTGACAGTTGAATTCTCTGTGGAAGTTGAATTGCACTTTGACCTCTGCCCTGGAACTGAACCTGCAAAGAAAAGTTGGGTTGGGTGGGGAGGGGGTTTGGATGCGGGAGTTCTGGTTATTCCTTGTGAAAGCTGAAAAGCGGCAAATAAAGTTTTCTGTTCATTCATTCATTCAAGAAAAGCAAAGCATTAAATTTCTTGTAGAAAACATTGCATTTGATGTTGTCTTGCAATTTGACCACTTCACAATTTGGCCCTAGCCACATGGGAGTTGAATTGCAGGATACCACCTGTATTGGGATTCTCATAAATAACTTGTCAAAATTTATATCTGAAATGAGATTCATTGAAATATCACTGCAACAAAGCCATTGTTAGCACATTCCCAATTTGTTGTTGAATAGAATCCATTTTAAAATAACTAAGCATCAATATGGATATTTGGCAAGAAGGGACCTAAAAATGGCTTTCTTATAACAGAAAAAAAGTATTACAAGATTCATTGTATGTAATGAGAGTGTGTAAATGCAATATTGTATTTACTTGAATACCATACACGATTGAGGAAGGCACATGCTTCCAATTTTGTGTCCATAGCATTGTGTTTATAGATTTCTGGGCATGCAGGACCTTGAAAAAATTTTGTCATAGTGAAGCATTTGTTCTAAAAGAATTTGGCATTCATTTATATTGAATTCTTAATAAAAAAGAACTTTTTGATGTATATAGAGCTAACAAAGGCATGTGGACCAAAGGAAACTTCCTGCCATCAAGATGAACATTGCGTGCTGGAAATTGCTGATGAGTGCCCAGCAACCCCTGGGAACCCGGGTTGTCCTCCACAGGTGCAATGCTATGGCCTCTCTCTGAATGTCACTAGCAACACCGACTGCTCAGACTTCACTTGTGACTCAGGTGATGTATGTGTGGATATGGCCACAAAGTGCTACTATGGGGCTGATGGAGATCTGAGTTGTGACTTTGAGGATGCTTGTGCTCCTGCTGGTGAGTGATCTTGGTTCAGATTATTTAATTTATGTAATAGAAAAGCAGCTTGAATGTCCCACTTTGATTGCCAACTTTGGTTCAACAGGTTTATCATGATTATCTTTACTGTACTGTACAGGAACTTCTTTGGGTATACCTCAATGTTTAGAACTAAATTCCACAAAAGTGGGGTTACGTTATCAAGATTCAAATAAAGTTTAAGAAAAGCAGCATGAATGTCCCAATTTGATTGCCAAATTTGGTTCATAAGGTTTTTCAGTGTCTTGTTAGGAACCTTGCTTTTTAACCTGAGTATTTGAGTTAGAACTAAAATCACTCAACTTTGGATTGTTGAAGACTCATAGCAAGCATATATTCCACTGCTCAGGATTTTCATTCAATGACATATCTGATTTGAGAGTTTATGAATCATTCATGGACCACTAAAGATGTTATGTAAAATTTTTACATCATCACTAACACAAGCAATGTTAAGATATTCTTTCTTGAAGCAGTTTCTGACACTTGTCACTAAAAACCTGAGATTAAAATCATTGAAAATATTTCTAGGCTACTCCTGATGAACTGTCTGTTAATGCATGAAACCTAAAACTGTGACAAATGCAAGAAATTAATTCTCATGAGGTCCACTTTCAAATATCCATGCATTATAATAATTCCTTTCATACCTGCTGAATATTCAAAAATGGCAGCACTGCTAGATAGTAAATTACATGGTTTCCAACTATTCAAATCATTCCTGTTTCATCAATTATTTAAAGTAAACTCTGACCAGAGAAAGAAAAGACTCAAGGAAGTGAGATTGTATTCACAAGATATTTTTGTTTCAGCCATCTCCAAGGAGTGTGACAATGATGAGGGATGTGGTGAGGATGAAACCTGTGTTCTGATGAAGGTGAACTGTGTGGCCCATCCTTGCTACCCAGCCAAGATTTGCAAGAAAATCAGGAACCCAACTCTGCCTCCCCTGACAGGGGAAGAGCTGGAACAAGATGATGACAAGTGTGGGGAAGACTTTTGCAAGGTCAATGAATTCTGTTCAAAAGTCACAGGCCCTGACTGTGTCTTTGGAGGCACAGCTGAAACTTGTGACTTTGCCTTGGAGTGTTTGCCTAAAAGTGAGTTTGCCAACTATACTAGTTTAAAAAAAGAGGCTTTCCACATGTTTTTTTCATTTTTCAACAAACTGGACAAACGGAAAACAATTTAGGTAAAAACAGGTTTGTACTATTTCTTTTGAATGAAGACTACTCTTCAATCACACAAAATTCTTTCATTGAGCTCAAATTATCTTCAAAGATCATCTCAAACTTTTGTGCAGCAGATTCTTCAAATTTTCCATTGAGGCATCATTCACACTTTTTTTTTCCATTGCCGGTGGTACACTGCAATTCAACCCTAATCCATTTCTGGATGAGGGTCAAATTGTGAATTGGAAAAATCACAAGACAAAGTTGAATGCAATGTTTTCTACATTGTATTTGATGTTTGGCATCTCTCTGTGGGCCAAACTGCAATACAGAGGTCAAATTTCAAGGTAACCTCCCATCAAATTTGACTGTTGAATTGTGGGATGGACACATTTTTGCATGGCCAAATTGTGAGGCACCACTTTTACTGGGGATTATGTTTTTCATTAATAACACAAATTATTGTATATTTGGGGATTAAAATGAACTTATCACAAGTGGGTATACAGTACATTTATGGCCATAATGCCTCAGAAATGAAAAATTCAAAAAGTTGCTTAGTCCTGTAATTTTCTTCCTTTTATTCAGGAATGCCCAGCTGCAGAGAAGCCCTGTGTGCAGAAGACACAGTGTGTATCAATGTCAGCCCAAAAACCTGCCAGGAGAAGCCCTGTTTGGTGCAACCCAAATGCATCCCAGCTTTGAATGCCATCACTCACCAGCAGACACCCATCACTGAATCATCCTCTTTAGTCACCAGCACTAATGAACTATCATCATCATCATCATCATCTCCCAGTGTTTCTTCTGAAAGGTTCTGTGGAAGAAGCAAGCTCAAGTGTGACCAAGAGAAAGAAGCCTGTGCTGAAGTTGCTGTGTCCTGTTTACCAAACCAGCATCACAAGTTGAGCTGTAAATTTGAAGACAGGTGCTTGAGAAAAGGTGAGATTTATAGTCCTGTTAACAAATACAGTTGGTCCTTGTTAAGTGGAATGTCCAAAAGTCAAAAACCTTCCTGATTCCAATTTCCAGGTAATCCCTGTTACAATATACCTAATTCCCTCAAAAGTCCATGCTTTATAACATATATGTTGGGATGACAAACCTTGATTGAAATTTTAGGGCATTTTTCATTAAATTGGGGCTACATTTAAGAAAACCTGTCTTGAATAAGCATACAAATATTTTCTTTACACCCCCCAAAATGTATTAAACATCATCCTGCAGTTATTGATATTATGACATCTGTGAGTAATGCCAAGTTCTCATATAATTTAGCCAGGAAATAATTTTCATCCTTCAAAATATACACATACAGGTTACGGTACCACGCAATTTTTCCTGCAATTTGATGGTCAAATTTGTTAGGAGGTTGACTCACAATTTGACCTCTGCAACACAATTCAACCTGCAGAGAGACATGAAATGTCAAATGACATGTAGAAAACATGCCATTTGACATTGTCTTGCAATTTGACCTTTCTGCAATTTGACGGTAGTCCAGCAACAGATTAGTGTCAAATTGCAAGGTACCACCTGTCTGATGACAAATTCCATAATTCAAAAACTGTAGGGAAACATTTTTTTCTACTTTCTTCATATTTGAACCAGAGACATTCAACTGTATAGTGATTTTTTAAAATGAGTCATGGCATCAACATGTGCAAAGATAGTAAAGGTCAATTGAACATCTTTGTTGAGAGCCCTGTTGAATTTGCTTGAAATCATTCAATGTCAGGTTCAGCTGAATATATTTTAATGACAATATTAGAAGTGCTTTATAATTCCTAGCTTGCATCTTTGAAGAAACTATTCAGGTTTTTCATTCAATGACAAAAAAGTTTCCGTTTTGTAAATTTTTGAGTTCATAAACAGGATCCCAGAGATTCGTATTTGTATTCTCATGGCATTTTGAAATTGTTTTTGCAGGAGCGCCATCTTGCGGCACAGTGCGCTGTTCAGATGGGCGTCACTGTGTGATGCGTGAAGTGAGATGTGTCACAACCCCTTGTGACCCTGTTCCAGAATGCGTTAGAAGAGCTGACTATGATGTGAACCCCAGAATTGCTCCTATTCTTAACCGGCTCATCAATTCATGATTAATTTGTTCCCATGTCTGGCTGATTTTATTTACGCAAATATGAATTTAGATAAATTCCTTATTTAAACCCTGTGTCTGCGAAAAAATAATCTGGGCGCTTATTGTTTTGAGGTCGATGCATTTTCAACGCATGTTATGAATTTCTCAAATATTTTCATACCACTATAAAAATAATGAAAATGCGTTTTTCTCCAATTTTTTTTAAAATTTAAGTTAGTCAATATTGGCTCTTCTAATATTGGAATGTCTTTTCCTGGGGGGAAAATTGTTTGCAAAAATTTGTCAAATTCTTGGTCTACCCGCTGTAGAATATTTGGTTTCCTGGTTTACTTTGTGAATTTTTTTTAAATGAGAAATTTAAAAACGGAAGATTCCATGTGAACCTCTCTTATTCGAATAAATATTACAATTTTTCACTAGCTTTTTCGTTCCATCGACTGGATTATATTTGCCCCCAAAAAATCTGCGGAGAAGTCTTGAGAGTTTCCGCTAACAACAAAAATCATGTCCTGTGTGTGTTGAAAAAAGTTGAATGCGATAAGAGAAAGATACATTATGTACGATCTGCATCCGGTTGTTGATCCATTGACGTGAACAGAGAATAAATGGACTTCACTTTATTTTTTCATACAATTTTTGTAGAATTCATTTTTTTCTTCTTGCGATCCATCGACATTTTTATTGTCATGTCAGAGTCTAGTCATGTTCTCGACCCCGTTTCTGGTTTTGAATGACGAGTAGAAATTTTTAAAGGAAAATGAAAAACAGAAGTTTTGCATTTTATAAAAAATATAACTTAACACAGATTCTGAATCGCTATAGATTTCACCGATTTTGTTTATTCTTTCGACAGAAAAAATGACCAACATTTCAATTTCAATTATTGCTCTGAACATTTTTCAAGCGCTGTATTTTTATACAATTGCTAAAATCAAAAGAGATCTTTTTGGAAATTTGTTCTTTTTGGAAGATCACCTTGAGAATAGGCTGCATTTTCATCCAAAATGAACAATGCTCAAACACTAGTGCGGCTATATTTTCGAAATATTTTTTTTTGTGCAGCTAGGCCACACTGATTTTAAGAATCTGTGAGTTTCCTTCAGTTTCAAATTTGAATGATGAAACAAAATTTTCTTGAAAAAAATTCAGCAGGATTCAGTTCAGATTCAGCTGGTTCCAAAACAAATTTCTTGAAAATTTCCCCGAAATATTAAAACTACTTTCTTCATTCCTGCAAATACAAAAATTTTCTCTCTTGAAAATTTCCAATTAGTTTTGCTGTGCAAAACTAATCTTAATTTTTAAATTCTCAATTCTTCATCTTAATTTCTTAAGGAAAGCACAGAATAATCATTAACTTCAGGCCATGAGAAAACTGATAGGGTAAAATAAATGTCTGAGGCCACAGTTTTCAGTCTTGTACATTGAAAATTTCCAAGGTTTATCTTCATTTGACCAAGATAAACTATTAACGTTACATGCTTTCTCATCAAATATTCTCTCCAGATTGTTTAATCAACTAAACCTCATCTGGAATCAGGCTGAGCACCTTGTGCTTCAATTTGGGTTCAATAATTGCCTATTCTCTGCAATTCTTATAACAAATATTTTATTTTTGTTATGAAGGAAGGGAAGAAAGTGTATGTATTTACATCAGTTGTGCAATTGTACATTTTGGAGCATATTTTCTTTTTAATATCCATATGCACGTTGTACCTTGCAATGGGGCCCTTATCCATTGCCAAACTAGGGTCAAATTGCAAAGTGGTAGAATTTCAGGACACTTTGTGAAATTAAAAAAATGTCAATGCAAAAGATGGCCAAGGCAGGTAAAATTGCAGGGCAAGGGTGGAATTGCAATTCAACCTCCCTGCAAATTCGTAACCATCAAATTTTGGAATGGTTAAATTGCCGGTCAAATGATGAGATACCGCCTTTACAGCTTATTTCTCTGTTTCTCATTCTGATGTTATGGAATCTCTTTGTATGAATACAGAAGCAAGCTGAAGACCTTGTGCTTTAAATAAACTTTCACTGCTACTTTGTTTTCAATGTCAGGAAATGGGCAAGTGTATGCATACATACCAGATGTCCAGTTTTATTTTGTGGAGTGTGTTCTCTTTTATTTTTGTCATCAGTTTGTGCTTTGTTTCCTGCTTTGAAGTGATTGGGTGTCTTTGAGGGGAATTGGGTTGGGTGGGGAGGGGTTTTGGATGCGGAAGTCTTGGTTGTGCCTTGTGAACGCTGAAAAGCGGCAAATAAAGTGTTCTGTTCATTCATTCATTCATTGGATGAATGGTGGAGGTTTTGGATGTTGGAACATTGCTTGAACATTTTTTGAAGGCTGAAAAGCAGGAATAAAGCTTGCTGTTCAATTCAATTGAATCATTTGCAGCGCAAGAAATTTTGCTGCCATATTTTGACTGCCTCAAATCAGTACTACTGTAATAAGGTAACAGCATTCAATTTTATTTTTCAGAGGATTAAATAATATATACATCACGTACTGTCTTGTATTTTTTTTGTCAATAGTTGTTTAAAAAAACAGAACGAGTGACTTCAGGCCCTGAGGAAATTGATGGGGGGAAATAAATCTTTCTGACACGCGATCCGACGATTCACGTCTCGAATGTAAAAAAAAAAAAGATGCGGTGAACGCACTCGACGATGATGATCACCATGAGGTCGACGACCGACCGCGACGAAGAGAGCCAGCAAAAAAGTCTGCATAAAAAATAAAAGCAAAAGCAACAAAACATCACAGACAAGCAAAAGAAGTGAATTTCAAGCACACCGGAGACCAACTGGGGAAGAGCAAAAAAAAAAATATGGAAGAATATAAAGAGTCATTGAAAGAATTTGTTCCAGGTGAGGCCGGGAAGAATGAGGGTCAAATGGAGGAGCGGCCGCGGTTTATTCCGTTTCCAGTCCTGGTTCAACTTGTTGCCCCGACTTTTTCCTGTTTCTTTGCTGCTGCTGTGCTTTGTGCTCAATAAGTTTTTTTTAATTTTATTTTATTCTAATTTAATATTTAATCTTATTTCTTGAATTAACCACGGGATGACGCGACCCGCTGCTGTGTGACACGCTTTTTTTGTTTGTTTCCATGACATCCTTCGCCAGACGAGACTCGCGTTAATTCTGAGAAATTTCTTCAGGGGAAAATAAATAACACTACGTCCTGACCTCTTGTCCAAAGGCAAAGCGAGAATCATTTGAATGTTTCTTTTTTCTTCATAGCAGGTAAAGTTGTTCCTATTCAATTGATGACCTTATTTGGATGAGTGAAAAATGCAGACGGGATATTCATGTGCAAATTTATTGCTTTTTGCCAATTTCATTGTGGGAAGCACGGCAAGTGAGTGGCTTTTATAATTACTGTATTGTGCAAAAAAATATAATCCCTTCTAGTGAGTCTAATAAAAAAAATTTTTTATGCCTGGATTTTAATTTGAATAGAAGTCATTTAAGTGAACGTCCAGTTATACTCAAACCAGGCTTTAAATTTCCCTTTTTCCACAGAAAAATCATCAACATTAGTTGTGAAGAAAAATATATCTACAACACTTTCACAGTGCTCTACAGTAAATTCTATAAAATTTTTCAAAATGCTTCCAAGTTTTATTTGAACAGCAGCCTTTCTGGAAGTTCATCTACATTTTTCAATCATTGATTTTTTATAAACAAAATACTGCATACATTTTATTCAGAGATAATTTGTCTCTCCTATAAACTGATCAATGGCACAAGAGAAGAAAACTGATTAATTTGATTTAATAAAAAATGAATTTTCACACACAGTATAAATTAATTTTGTGCATGAGGTGTGTGGGAATTATATTTTTTAATGCTGATCAATCAATAAAAATTGCATTCATGACATTTTCCCCATGATAGTCAGTTTTTCAGAAAATATCAGATACTAGCTCACATGTATTTTTTTCCAACACTTCCAGGTCCAGTTTTGTTCCCTTCAACCCATTGTCCAGCACCATGGGACATGAAACTCCAGGGCCTGCAAGTCTGCGCAGAAGAATGCCAACGTGACACAGACTGCCAAAATTTGCAGAGGAAGCCGAAATGTTGCATGTCATCTTGTGGTGCAAGGAAATGTGTGGAACCAGCCCCTGTACTTGGCAGTAGATCAGATTTCCAGCAAGAATTTGCTCAATCATCTCTGAATAAGAACTATTTTGCTCATGACTGGGGTTGGAGTCCTTGGTACAATTACTACAGGAACAGGGCTGTGCAAGAACAACAGCCTGAAATCTGTGGACATTTTGTCTGTGGCAGAGGGGAAGTGTGTGTAGATGTCACTGTTGCAGAATGTCTGGTCACCAGAAGTGCATGGATGCTTTGTCCTCAGGAGAAGCAGTGCATAGATCCCAGTAAGTCAAAGCCATAACATCTGATGTCACTATACTGCATCTCCAATGCTGTGGGAACATTTTCAAATTTTACTAAACATTTCTAAACTCCTAATTCATAACCAAAGAACTCAAAAAATTTACTATGTACGGAATTGCAGGTTCTTTTCAATTACTGTCTTTGCCATATATGTATGCTCCAATGATGCCCTGGTATTAATTTGAAAATTTTCAATTTTCACCAGCATCTATTAGAGACTGGGAATTATTCTCAACAGTTGCAGCTCTGGAAAAATATTGAAAGAAAAATAAGAAAAAATCGAAAAACATTGAATTTCCCAATGATTTTTGGAAATGAGACAAAATGCATAAACAAAAGGCTGAAGGGAAGGGGTTTCTTTGTTGAGTAATTAAGACTAGTTTGTGGAAAGGATTATTAGGATTTAAATATTCTTGGATCTCTTCACCCGCGCCCCCCCCCCCACCCCCAGCTACTATATTAGGGGCTGGCTTTACTATATTTTTGAATTTTGCAAAGTGTCTTGCAATTTAACCACTTTGCAATTTGAACTTATAGTTTGGCAACAGATGTG